TAACAGCTCCTCATTGCGTCACATTTGAGTTTACAAATATTCAATTCCAAGGAAAGTTGTTCAAACGTGACCTTCAGCGAGACCATACAGCTGTGTTGCAGTGGACCTTGAAGGCTGGAGGGACAGGTTGTCAAGATCTTCTTTTATCTGGGCTCTGGGACTTAATACCATCTGTACTTCACATGCAGAGTTGGTCTACAAGAAGATCAAACAGTGTATATTTCTAAAGTTCAGTCTCTCAGGTTGGAAGTTGTAATGAATCCTATGTGCAAGTTCACTAAGGGAGATCTGTAATCAGTGATCTGCCTGCTTTCCTGGGTGTTCGGCTGCTAGTCTGTCCTTTACAACGCATCCACTTTACCACACTGCTGACATCACAGCTCTAGTACAATCATCTTCTTGACCAACTTCTTCGAGTCAATCAGCTCCCGTTCAGCGTACTTTATATCTCAGCTCTCTTGTGTTATTCTGCCTTTCTGACTCTCATTCACTCAGCCCACCTACTTCCCATCTCTCTCTTCATGCTGGTCACTCAGAGCTCCATCCAAGCCTCCTTCTTCACCACCTGCGTCTAGACTAATTCCTGTCAGTGCTGAGGTTTTGTTCTTGTATGATGGGTTCATGTTTGGGACCTGAATTACCTGCTGAAGGAAGGCTCTGGAATTCAAATAAAAGCTCTGGATGTTTTGAGTAACTTTCCAGCACTATTGCTGGCTTGGAGCCAACAGTACTACTCTGGAGTTTATGTGAGTAATGACGAGTAACACCGGCAACTGGCTCAAAACCAGGTATAGTGACAGCATTGACCTCTGTTATCTCAAGAGCAGAGTGAGATATTTCCCTTCTGGCAGACACCCAGCACATTCCTCTGCAATCACACAGCTAACCATGCAGGTAGAGTCTTTATACAGTCACTGTTTGGCAGAGGTAAGTGAACAGTATTGAAAGTATATGATAATGTTTTTTGTTGTTTTGTTTTGTTTTAATTTGGCCCTCTTCCGAGATAATAAACACAAACTATTCAGTTAGACAAAAAGTACATTCATCTTGTCTGCAGAAAAAGCTGACGCCATCTTTTAGGCATTAGTTCAATTTTTTTTACTTCCTTTTAGTGAGGAATGGCATTTCTGCAGATATGGGATGAAAGTGTTTCATCATATGCAAAATAAACAATGAGTTACAAGAGGGCCTTAAAAAGTTACAACAGAAAACAAAGTTCAAAGGAATTTTACAAAAATGCACACAAAATGGTCAAACTCTGGAGCTGCATATGCTTAACCACAACAATTCCACTCAGAAATGCCATCCATTCATTATCCTCCACTTAATGTTGTCAGGGTTGCAGGCGGGGTGGGGTGGCTGGAGCCTATCCCAGAAATGCTTCACTACAAATGAAATTACACAATTTAAACGTGATCGTATTTTGTTTTGCAAAGTGTGTAAGTGTATAAACCTTTTTAAAAAAACAAGAAAGTCTGTGAAATGGTTGCATTATTTGCATAAAACAGTCATAATTTATATATTTCAGGTTTATCATCTTTTTAGTTGCAGTCCAGGAATTATAAAGGGGACTTCTTTGTAAACTTTTATTTACAGATTTCTTCCCACACAACCACCTCTGTGGTTTACAGAGAAAGGGCAGAAAAAGAAGAAATTTCCAGTGAGTGGGAGTTCTGATGCCAGAAAACGACCAGAGTGCTTCAAGCTGATATGAAGGAAACAGGAAGTCCAAAGCAAGAGTGGGCTCAGTACTAGAGAGGTGTACCTAATAAAATGGCCGGTGAGTGTCCTACATAATGCTGATCTTGATCTCTAATTTGTACAAATTACAGAAGAAAGAAACTTTTTCCTTTTTAAGCATATCTGTGTTTTTACACATGCTTACATCCAATCTGCTGTCTTGATCTACTGTGAGCGATGCTGTAACACATCACCGCTCATGAATCAATCTCTTTCACAGCTCAGAGATAAAAGCAAAGCAGTTTAATGACTTGGAACCTTTTTTTCTTTCAGTTGATGCTCATAGTTTGAAGTGAAACCAGGTTTAATGCCAAACATATTGATGTTTAGATTCGGCCTCTCCTTTTGTTTTGTTTGTTTTTGTTCTCTTTTTGCTGACTGTGTCTAAAGTGGTGGTAAACTGGTGAGTTGTTAGTTATAATAAAGTGAAAAGATGTAATTTTTTTTTAACAAACGCCAGATTTATTATTTATTTTGAGGAACTTTTCAGCATTAAAAATAAACATGGTACATAAACATGCTGTATCCACAAAAGTTCACTTCTTTAATTGTTTACAAACCCTTTAATAATAGATTAATTACACATTAACCTATAACCACTGCTCACATTTATCACACACATCACGTCTGCATGTGCACTGAATAAGAGCACTGCTGTCTGACACAAAACTCAAAAAACATACTTTTTAAATAAAATATATGCTTATTAATCAGAAATTCAATCAGAAGACAGGCTGAATGATAAGATTTCCAGCGCCCGTCCCTGATTGTCTCCGGAAAAAAATGACTGAGAACTTGGATAATAAATATTTTACATCTGATATTAAATCTGTTTACAACTTGCTGTCAGTTGTAGCTGTCACTGTCTACTTTGCATTTATATTTTGTGATGAGAACCCGAG